CTGCTCCATGCTTCGCGGAGGCACGTGGGGAGGTGAATGGAGCGGTGTTGCGGGGCTGAGGTATGGTCTTGGGTGTCCAAAATGTGCACAATGCCTGCGACAGGCAATGTTGCGTTGAGCACAAGGTCGCATCACAAGCATCATGGTAGGCCGCTCCGGGTCAGCGCACAAGTAGAACGAAGCATGGGTGGGGGTAGTGCTGGTCCATGCTTCGCGGACGTGTGTTGGGTGGTGAGTGGAGCTGTGCTGCGGGGCTGATACATGGGGTTGGGTGTCCAAAATGTGCACAGTACATGCGCCAGACAGTCAAGGCATGGCCGACACGGGAGGAGCGTTATGTGCCACAAGCGCAACGTGGGGCCGATACTGCTCCAGGCTTCCTGGAACAGTTGTCAGAAGCCATGTTGCAATGTTATTGGAGACTAGCTGCAGATTGAAAACAACCAGTTGATATATATTATATATATACACCTAGAATCCGTTTGACCCCCAGGAAAAGGCCATATTTGGGATAGTTGACCCTCCAAAACAGGGGTCACTCAGGTTCCAGGTATATGATACATCCAAAAGCCAACCCGACGAAAGACGGAACTGCCACGCGCCCAACGCCACACGTGAACTGGGGATCCGTCGGAGACCGTGCGGCGCAGAGTCGGACGGAGCCCTAGAAGTACGCCAGGGGCTGGGGAGGGAAGATGGGAGCGAGACGGGAGGCGACGGGGCTGGGGATGGAAGATGGAGCTGCATGGGTGGAGGGGAGCGCGACGGAAGGCGCGTGGGTGGGACGGGAGGCGCGTGGGGTCGGGGCTGGGAGGGAAGATGGAGGGGAGCGAGACGGGGGGCGCATGAAGATGGAGGGGAGCGAGACGGGAGGCGCATGGGTGGGGAGGGAAGAAGGAAGGGAGTGGGAGGCGCACATGGGTGTGGACAGGGCTGGGGAGGGAAGATGGAGGGGAGTGAGACGGCGTGGCTTGGGTGTGGACGGGGCTGGGGAGTGCATGGGTGTGGACGCTTGCGCGGCTGATATGCTAGTTACGAGGACATGGTTGCACCACAAGCATCATCATCATCATTGCAGGCTGCTCCGGGTCAGTGCACAAGTAGAACGAAGCATGGGTGGGGGTAGTGCTGCTCCATGCTTCGCGGAAGCTCGTTGGGAGGTGAGTGGAGCTGTGTTGCACCAGAACCGCGACGCTTGAAATATCATAGTTGCCACGAAGCCTGGAGGGGGCTGATGCTTCGTTTTGGCCTGCTAATTTGTGTTTGTTTATTTTTCCTGGGTTGTGCGCTTCTTTTTGCTTTTGGGTCCGCGGGCTCACCTTGTTTTCAAGATCCAGGGATTGAACTCCAAACTGGATTGACTCCAATGAGTACCGCTAAGTGGTGCGGCGTTTTCATGACCGGAACCGAACAGAAACCGCTTCACTCGAACCCCGGCCTCGAAGGCAGTGGCCGCCAACGCCGGGTCGAAGACATGCACCCGGCGGCCTACTGTGACCAGACCGCTGGGAAGGTCGTGACCCAACTAGTAACAAGAAGCTAGTAGGAACAAGTGCCTTACTAGTAGTAACAAGAAGCTATTAGAAACAAGGGCATTACTATTAGGAGCAAGGACGCTACTAGGGGCTCCTCTTGGGATACGACCCAACTTTGTCTCCTCTGCAGAGCAAGGTCTCTCAACTGGGTACCATCGCTGTTTCGATTTTGGAGGCCATTCTTGCTACTAGAAGCGATGCACTTGTTTCTAATAGCTTCTTGTTACTTAGGTTGGAGGCCATTAGGTCTCTCAACTGAGTATCTTTCCGCTGGGCACAAGGAGCTTCATCGATCCACAGAAGCGAAGAGGAAGACCCTTCGACAGGCCATCAAGGCCGATCACACCTGTCGGCAGTTTTGTTGGTTTACTTCTCGGCCAATATTTAGGTTTTATTGGGTGGAGCACCCAGATTCACCAGTCTTTTCCTCTTGGGGGCGGTGCCACCATTGCACCTTTCGGCCAAAAGGTGTCTTCTTCCTGCTGGAGATCCCAAGAAAAACCCGCCTGGCTTGAAGACTTCTGTCGAAGTCACGGACCTGAGAATTCAAGGCGCATTAGAGCCGCGAGGACATGTCGGACTGTCAGCATGTTTAATGGTGAAGAAATGGTGGGACTGATGCCTCCCATGCAGTCTTTCATAGATCTACCAGTAGAAACGAGTAGAGTCAGTAGAGGAAGCCTTGTACCTCAAGAGGCTACAGTATCCTGATGAAACAAGCAAGGAAAGTGGCACACTCAAACCTGGTCCAACCCGGAAAGGTCAACTCCACTAACCAGTCCAAATCGACTCCGCTGGGAGCTTTTCGTGGGTCTTGGAATCGACCGAGGCACTGCTGCCTTGGCGGCTTCCGACTCGGATCGCTGCCAAGGCGCTGGAAGTTCCACTTGACATCCTCGATCCTGGCGGCTCGAGCTGGGGTCGACCCCGGTCGATTCATCGGGAAAGCGAGACGGACAAAGGAGTTATGGGTGAGCAGGCACCAAACGAAGTGTTAGTCAGTGTTGGTTCAGTTTCACTAGGTCCTATAAATACAGCCATCGACCAACTCCAAGTGGCTAAAACATGATCTCTAAAGCAAGAATCCAATGCAGTGCATTTCTGTGTCCATACTCGCGACAGGTGAGCGCTTGCAAAAGAAGGAACAAAGGGGATAAACAAAATTTGTGGCGTCGTCCCGCAAATCCTCACTTCCTAGCCACCTAGCCCAATAGGGAGATCCTAAAGGATTGATCCTCCTGATGGATCAAGTGTATGACCCGAAGAGATCAAAACCTGACAGCTTTCCAGTCACCCTCTTACCGATTCAGGTGCATAACCCCAAGAAGTACCACATCCGGAAAGGAAGGAAAGCCTGTTAAGTTGCACCCCCCCCATCTTTGGAGACAGGCACAGTATGGCACAGTGGCCCAACTCGATTTTCGTCGAATCCATCTCCTTCACACCGCACCTTCGTGCTCTCAGGCTCGACGAACTCGGTGTGGAACGGATTTCGTCGCTGTGGAAGTCCCGCACTTGCAGCAAGAGCTGACGGGAGTAGATGCCTCGGAGTAAAGAAGAAGAGGTCTGAACAAACAAAACAAGAAACAAAACAAAACTATCCTTTGGGATGCTGAAGGGAGTATTTAGACAGCTTTTTGTGCCCCTCAACGCCTCATCTGTGCCTCAGATCCCCCTTGACCTAAAGAAAATCGTCTGGTTTGGGCAAGTTCTCTATGGCTTATTCTGTTTCAACTCCACCGGCGCTAGCCAAACTGGGCCGAGCTGCGCTTCTGCCTACGTGGCCGCGCTTCCCTTTCTCTGGGCCCTGAGCGGCCAAAAAGCAGCCACAATGGGTGAATCGATGAAAATCGATGGGTTGATCATACCTGTTCAGAAGAGATCCGTCGATGGTGGGTGTTTCCTGTCTGTTGTTTCCTCAGAGTGTTTGGACACCTCCTAAAACTCGGCAAAAAGCAAGAGTCAAGAGCGTCACTACACCTGCCGAAGACAAGCTTTGGATCATGACATGTTCTGCATGTGACTCGACTCTTCAAGATGATCACAACATATCACAACTATTCACTTCAAGATGATTGCGGGACAAGAGTAGCAACGGAGATCGGAACCTTTTGTCGGTCAAGCCAGGTAAAAATCAGAACAAAAGTTGCAACCCACAGAAGGATGGTACCAAGAAGCTATTAGAAACAAGAAGCTAATAGCTTCTTGTTACTAGTAGTAAGGCACTTGTTACTACTAGCGTGGCACTTGTTCCTACCATTGGGGTGCAAAACACTTGCATCCAAGGGGCGCGTGAGGATGTCCTCCTCATCCGAAGCGTCTGCCCAACACCTTGGTCGGCCACTCCCTTGCCACTTGGCTCCATGTGCCTCTTCCATTGCATTTTTGTTACTACTAGCGATGCACTTGTTACTACTAGCGATGCACCTGTTACTACTAGCTTCTTGTCATGGAATCCACACAGTGTCGTCTTTGAAGATACACTCTTCGGACTCCGCCTGCGACGTCCATTCTCTCAGCTTCTTATGGCCAAGCGGCTGGATGCGGTCCCCGTTCCATGCTTTCGACGAAGTATCCTGCTGGACGCGTTGTGCGTGATAGGTGGCGAGCCAACACCAGGAATGGAAAAAAGAAGCTGACGAGCTGATTGTAAGCTGAACTTTCCGGATATCAAGGCATGTCAAGGAACACAAAAGACTTCACTCTCAGTTCAGGCAAGCCCCAAAAAAGCGAACGCCAAGCCGCCCTTTCAAAACAGCTTTTAGACCGTTTAGACCTGTTTTTAGCGTGAAAAAAGAGAGCGCCGCCGGTCGCACAAAACACGGATCCCGCCATGCCTGGACCGCCTCACCCAGCTCGTCCCGCTGCATGGGTCGGAGAGCCCCAAACGGCTACGCCGGCGGCTACGCAGGTCGCGACGCTTCGGTTCGGTCGCTCAGGTCGCTTCCGTGCGGTTGGTTGCTCCTCCTTTCTTTTGTTCTTTCGCATGTGCCAACAAAGAACGGATGGAAAAATGGTGGGATTGTCTCAAAGGCTCGGAACTTGTTTGAGACCACCGCAAAAAGACAAGGCGTTAGTTGGAAACAAGGGAGTCAGGTAATCCCAAGTTCAGAATCGTTCCTTTCTTTCACAGCAATGTGAATTTATAGAAGTTCTGACCTCTCTGGTCGAAGGCAAACAATCTCAACTCGGCCTTCTCGAGAGATTCCGATGTTTCTTCTAGAAAAAGAAGAAAGAAAGGTCTAATGTATACAAATATGTAGAGAGAGAGAGAGAGAGAAGGACAAGAAACTTTAAGAATACCCTGTTTCACCTTCTTCGAGACTCCAAGAGCTCCCCCGAATCCTGGAGCGAGACCGCCTTAGTCTTGGGCGATGGCGAAGTGGCCCTGGCACAAGGTGTGATCAGCTTAGGGACGCGGCTGCTTTGGGATGAGGACGAGGTAGAATGATGCAGAAGGCCACAGGCTGTGGTCTATCTTCTTTTCCCAGCTACAAATCTGTGACCAAAAGCCAAATGCGAAACATTGCAAGACTCATCAAAACTGGTTGAGTGAGGATCCCTGTTGCCACGATCGTGGTCCAAGTCCCGAGTTTCTGGCCTATGGTTTTTCACTCAGTTCTGGACCCTTCTCTGGACCCTCTTTGTGCCTGCTTCCCTTCTCAGGAGTGCGCAGGTCCTGCAAGTGTTCAGTCACAAGCCGTGTAAATGATGTTGAAGGAATCGGCGTTGGAGGAGAAATTAGAGCTCCAGTGAGGCAAACAATCTTCTCTCGCAGCTCAGACCTTCCTTGACCTATCCAGGCATGTAAAAAGCTCCCGAACCATGGACAACAACAATATAAAGGCATCTTGAGCTCCAACATGACCACCGTTTTCCCAAACCATGTTTTCTTCCTTTCTGAGGATGGAACAAGAAAATACACTCTGCCCCCCAAGTAAGCAGGACCGGTGGAACCAAACAGCCACGGACAGGCTCCTTGCCCCCAGTCTTTGCAGGCGACGTAGGCTTTGCCTTCGCCTAAAGCAACATGACGTGTCTCAGCGCTCTTGTGTTTGCAGTTTGTAGGGGGGATAAGTTAAGTCAGTTAAGTCCCTTCCCTGAAAGAAAAGGTAGTTCACGGCGAGTGTCTCAAGAGTAGGGAACGGTGAAATTCAAGGCTTGGGGCTTGGTGTGTTGATCCGAAAGACTATTTCTTAGTTTTGGCAAAGCGTCCCCTGTAAACCACCATCTGAGAATTGGTTTCAGAATCTTTGGAGAGGTATAAGGTTGGTGTGGAAGCGGAATTCTCATTAATAGAAAGAAAAAACGATTTACCGAACCCAAAATCACATCATCTCACACAGAATCCATCCTGATGGCGTGGCCGCACCTCTTTCTGAGCCTCGTTGTGGAACTGTACCTCGACCAGTGGAGAATCCAGAACATGAAGAGAGATTCATGTTCTTTGTCGGATTGTCCAAAGGTGTGTGGAGCACCGCAAAGCGTTGCATTTGATGGCCATCCCCGATGATTTCATGGCCACGTTGAGTTTGGATGAGCATCACATGGCAAAGGAAATCAAAAATAAGAATCGCTTTGCTTTTTTGCCAGCAAGTGCGGTCACATGACTTAGTAGGCAAAAACATCCTTGCAAAAAACCACGCATGGAAGCGTGCACCATGAGGAGCCAAGGAACTCCAAGGAACTCAAGCAAACCAAGTGTTTGTGGTGATCTTCTGGGACCTTTTTTCACGTTGTTTGGCTGTTTGCTAAATAGAAAAGCGCGAACAACATCTTTGGACATCACTGAACCTTGCCACTTCCCTGGAAGGAGGCACAAGAGCTTTAGCAGCTCCTGCAGCCTGCGCAGCGTGTGCAGGAGCAAAAATGGTCGTCGACTGCATCGGTGAACTGCAGCTTTTGCAAAATGTTGAAACTCCTTTGAACCACGAAGACAGGAGAGTTTGGAATCTCTCTTCATAACTTGTTATCATCAGCAGTCGCTCATGTGTCATTATTACTAGTAGCAAGAAGCTACTAGGGGCTCCTGGCCTTACTACTGGGAGCAAGGACGTTACTAGGGGCTCCTGGCATCTCTACTAGGAGCATTCTTACGACGAACGTAGCAAGGACGCTACTAGGAGCAAAGGGCATCGCTACTAGGAGCAAGAACGCTACTAGAGGCTCCTGGCCTTACTACTAGTAGCTTCTTGTTGCTACTAGCGATGCACTTGTTACTACTAGTAACGAAGGGCTACTAGGTTGGACTTCGCGGTGTGGGAACCCACCTGTGGACGTCGTCGCATCCTCGCAGGCGGACGTCGCTGGTGAGACCCCCACGGTGACGAAGGGAGCACATCTCAAGGAGTTGTTTTCAGGCACCGAAATGGGAAGGAAAGACCAAGGAAGGTCATAAGTGGAGAAACCTTGTCAAGGAGCTCCCCATACAGGTGAATACATCTTCCCACCTATCTCTCTTCACTCCACGGGTTTTAGCTTCTTGGGAATGTATTGTACAGTATATTCCTTTGCAGTGATGAGTGAGGCCTCCATTCACCTGGGGTTCCAAGTATTGAATTGGCCAAAATGAAGAAAACAGAGAAAACCACCGAATCCTGTTTTTCCGTTTGTTAACAGCGAATGAATTGACAAGAAAAAATATTCATGGCCAAATCTCAGCGGAGCCCCAGAGTATCGGATCAGCATCACAAAGGTCAACAACGATGTGGATCAGCCTGGGGGCACCCTGATAGAGGGCGAGTTCATCAAGTCTTCTGAAGAACAGAACACTGAACACTAACAAGAGTTTGATCTGCTTGTGGATGATCTGCTGTGTTGAGAAAACGGGGTGCCCACCATGGCCCGCCCAAAAAAACATAAGGTCCTCAGCTGGGCAGGGGCCCATCAGAGGCCCGAGAACTGGAAAAGAGTGCGATTTGCACGTGAAAGGCTGCTGGAGCTGTTGGCTGTTGTGTGCCAATCTTTTTGAGGCATCGGTGTCGGATGCAGGTCGCCTCCTGAAAACATGTGTTGATGTAAGGAAGAAATCATGAAACGAACGAAATGACCTAACCGCTGAGAAGGAAATGTTCATTTCGAGTTCAGGTCTTGTCGCGTTTTGTGAGTAATCTAGACTTGTCCCAAGGTGGATCGTGTGCGTCTGCGGCCTAATCGCACGAGATGGCTCGGAAAGTGATGGACAGAACGATGTTCCAAAAACGAACGGTGGCGAGCAGGCCAGGAGATGAACCCCAACTACCACACATCAACTGTTCTTAGACAACATTGGCGAGGGAAGGTGGAGGAAGAAAGGAGCAAACTCTCTGCATTTGGCCAACTCGGGGCACAAGCAACTGATCTTGGCACGTTCCGTCCACTTAGCGCTGTCCACTTATGAGTGCTCTCCCTGAAAGCACCCCTTAGCATGTTGGGATCCAAAAAAACCCAGCAACCTGCGATTTCGTTGGAGGTGGACCCAGCAAAGACCCCAAACCGGCGACTTTGGGGAGGTCAAATCCAGTACAAACGCTGATCAATTCCAGCAACGGCAACATGAGGTGTTTTTCAGAGCTCCTCTTCCTTTCCCCACCACGACATGTCAGGAAACCACGCAGTCGAGGGATCACAGGCCTCAGACCAACCAAAACCGGATTGACCGCTGTGTTCACCCCAGTGAAAAGCCTGATCAGAAATGGTTGCTGGAGTCTTCACATCATCTACCAGCGCTTTACTGGCTCTACCCTCCAAGTTTCTTCTTCTACCCTCCCCGACTGACTCCCCGACTGCCTGGCGTTTTCAACCGCGCGGGACGTGCAGTTGGGTCGCATTCACGGCGCACTGGCTGGGAGGAGCGTGCAACTCTGAGCTTGAGGGAAGCCCCATGGAACCCCGCGTTGTCTCCTTTGCATATTTGGATATGTTTGGCATAGACATTTCACAGATTGCTCAACGTTCTAACCCCAGACATTCATTGAGTTGTGTGTGATACAGTTCACATGTCATGAGCATTGTTGCGGGGGTAGTGGTCCAATGCACAAGAAAGGGGATGTTGCACATGAAAATGTTGCTTTCGTCTCTTGGATGTGCCACTATGTCACCCCAAAACAAACTTGGCATGCTTCGTTCCATTCAACCAAGCTCTTATCACGTTGTCCATTCTTGGAGTGTTTCAATGTTTGATTGCATGAGGCTCAGCAATCCTTTCAAGACCATTCCTCTGCGACTGCTTCCAGATCTTCTATTTCCTCAGAAGTTCACGCTGGACACAGGCAGCACCGCTGGAAAACGAACGAGATACCGGTTTGGCCGGTACGGCGCAGTTGGCAGGAAAGCGCGAAGCAATACTGACTGAGACACGTTGCCAAGTGAAGTGCTCGTTTAAAAAATAAAAACAAATAATTAAAAAACTGTCTGTAGCAGTCACAAACATGGAGCATCATTTCTTGCAATCTATATTTGGAGGGGAGCTTGGTATTGGAGAAATCGACAGTGGCCCGATCTTTCTGACCCCAAGATGTGTCAGCTTCAAGCAGAAGTCACCACCTAGGCCTAGAAACCACAAGCTCTCCACAAAGCAAGAATAAGACATTAGCCACGTTACATCTTTGGTTGGTCGTTTGTGTTCATTTCTTTGGTTTGCTGCTGCAACCGCCGTCTTGCAAGGCTGGGTGCATTGCTTCAATTTTGGCTCCCCCCACACGCGCGGACAGAATAGGTCGGCAAACCGGGCCATGCGAAGAGGTGAAGAGCTGCAGATGTTGATTAGTTGGGGTTCATCACATGTCCTCTTTCGCAAGAATGTTGTGGAAGAACTCGTGGGGTTTTTTCGTCTGAAGCAAAAGGAACCAAGACAACCAAGACTTCTTCAGCCAAGACCAAGATCGACCTTCGGAAAAAAGAGTCCCAGGAAAAAAGTCCACACACTTCTCAAAGAGTGAGCCCTTTCCCCGCAAAAAAACGAGAGACTTGGGGTGGCCCCAAAAACAGTTGTAACCTGCAAACTCAAAGTCTCCAAGATGTGAAGGATCCACCCGAGCCAAATCTGCCAAATCTGGACGCTCATGGACCTCCCGTCTCGCATGACCCGCAGTCGTGCAACAGAACATTTTGCCATTGCGACTGCTGGCCGACCAACGGCATCAACTGGGCTTCATACACATTAGCCCATATCTACTCTATGGGACGCGGGTGGTCAACAAACAGAAAGCTCTTTGATAATCAAACTGTCAGCGATGCCAAAAAGACTTCTCACATCTGCAAAATCTCTATCTTTCTCTATCTTTTGGCAGTAGTTTCTTTTTTGTCGTGCGTGTGTCCCATGTCTCAAGCCTCTCGCCATGTCACTCGATATCTTCCATAGCATGAAAGGTCTTGCAGGGTTGCGCCACCCCCATCCAAGACGCACCATCTCATGCAGTACGCTCGGGCAATGACGCTATTGGTTTGATGGCCTTTGGATCTGCCTGTGGCTAGTATGTTGCTGAGTAGATAATGCAGCATTCTGACCCAGTATCAGCTCCTCTCTCTCTCTCTCTGCAAAGTCTTAAACCTACATTCCAAACCTCCCCATTGCGTTGCCAGCTTCAATCTGTTTCATGCATCTCAGTGTCGGTGGGTTCATCAAGAGGAAAAGCCCAAGAAAATATATTGTCGTCCAACCCGACAACACTTGATTGTCCCCAATTTTCAATGTTGCTTGTCAGCAGCCATTGTATTACAATACAAATTGTATGTATTTAGGTGTTTACTAAATGACATCTATTTCTGTCTAGTCTAGCCTCCCAAGGAAGCGAAGCACGGCAACTGCTCGGTTTCGATTCCGCCCCACCGGGCACCGCGCGGGCACCGCGTCGCCGTCGCGTCGTCGCCCAGGCGCCAAAGCGCCGACCGAAGAGCGCCCTCTCAGTCCCTTACCTTTGCAAGGTACCTGACGGCGCAGCAGGAGCTGCGGAGCTGCTTTTGAGATGAGGAGAGGATGAGGCGGATCACACGAAGTGAAGAGAAATGAGAAGATGATGCGGGAACACTCTCGTGGGGTGTTCCCAATAATTCGGCTCCAGGGCGAAAGTACTGTGTCTCAAAACGGGAAGAGCTCGAGTTGTGGACATCCACAGACCCTGAGTTTGTGAACGAAGCGAAACCTGTCTGAGTCACTCAGTGAGCATTTCGGCTCCCTTGGCAAAGCCAGTTCTGGCCTTAGGTGGGCGGCTGTGAGTGGATATCCAACACACGCGGCAGCTGTTGCTTCAACTCTGCGGACAACTAGACAGCATCACTTCAGTGAAAAATGCCCAATCCATCCTGGCAAGAAATACCCTTAGGGACTTCTGGTCATACATCACTAGCTAAAGCAAGTGAGATCAAAGTGCAACACAGTAGAGAGAACCTCCAGGCTACTTGCAATGCCAGTTCGGACCCTTTAGTGTACTACCGGATCCAATTTGGTGATGAACATGGGGGCTCCTCCCGTGTGCTTTGTTTTGTGTCGTGCTTCCTTCGATGAGTCGAAGTCAGCTGAGGCCTCGGACCATCTCAGCTCCGCGGCCAGCAGCCAAGGATGCGAAGGACTTGGATGCCGTTGGATGCGAAGGCATTACTACTAGGAGCAAAGGGCATCGCTACGAACGGAGCAAGGACGCTACTAGGACTAGGGGCTCCTGGCCTTACTACTAGGAACAAGAAGCTACTAGTAACAAAGGGCAGCGCTTGGAGTCGCACCGCAGTGGTGGACATCGTTGTCGCACAAAGTGGACGGTGTCCCGTTGGCAGATGGAAGTGGGAAGTGGGACGTCAACCGCCAAAGTGTTCCTATAGTGTTCCAATAGCGGAATATCTTACATCCGAGAACATTGCATTCTCTGAAAACTCCGCCAGGGGCAGGAAATGGTCCATTTCTCAGTTGGATCACTGACGCAGAAGTCACCAAAGCTTCTTGCCACAGAAGTCTTCCTCTGGCTTCACAGCACTAGGGCCACACACAGACATGTCATCGGTGTTGTTCCTGACGGCAAGGCCCAAGGTTCGTTACCTTTCCACAACATGGCTTGAGGAGAAAAGTCCACTAATCCATCGTCGGCTCTGGCTCCCCATCTCCGAAAGATCCGTACTTCCCAGAAGCTTTAAGGAAGCCTGTTTGGGGCATACAGCACCCCATGCCCACCCTCCCTTTTAGCAAGGAAGATGATTCTTTAGAGTCTTTACACAAAGCAGTGGACATTCCTCGTAGGTGGGCCTTGTGTGGGACTCATCCTGCTGCTCAAGACCAGCACCTCCAATACCTCACCCACCTCAAAAGTGGCAAAGTGGCAACCGGCAACCCGCAGAAAAGGCCAAGACAAGCCAGGTAAGCTGGATATCTTCATCTCCATCCCCGAAGTAGCCTTGGCTTGACGGTCACGGTGACGTGATGGAAGGTGATTTCAGGGCAAAGGGAAGAACTTGGAGAACCTGCGGTCTTAGAAAAGGAATGGCCGAGCCTAGGAACGCAACTCAAATATATACATATATATATATATGGAGCTCCAAATGTTCGAACCTTTTGAGAGGAGCAAGAGCAAGGGAATCAGCAAAAACAGTGATATCCATGAACAAAGTTCATTGTCCTAATTATTGCCGTGCCTGGCAAAAGTTGTTCAAACGCTTGTCATAGAACCCGACCCTTCCCGTGCTATCGAAGGGCTAGCAGATGAGATCGCACCGGCAGCCGCAAATTTGTTGAACCTGCCGGTCTGTGAGTGCAAAACCCCAAGCCGAGTGCTTTTGGTGATTCTGTTGCAACAAAAACCTACCAAGTTCTCCCCCCAACGCGTCCAAGTGCTGTCCCTCCAACGCGCGTCCACGCTTCAAACCCGTCAGTGCGCGGCCTGTTTTCCCGATCCAACCTTTGCTGAGCGGATTCCGGCTCAAACCTGGACAGCAATCGGCCGGTGAGCTAGAAAGGTCGAGTGTGTGCTCACCGCTACGAACGCAATCGGACGCTGGCTCCTGGCATCGCTACGAACGGAGCAAGGACGCTAGTTGGATCCAAAAATCACACCAGGTCGTGTCTTGTCCAAGTCCCATGGTGAACCCTTGCGCTTTAAGATCGCTCCCTGGTGCTCAGATGTTTGGCTTGTGGAAGAATTCCTCTGGCCAAGTAATCTCGGAGAACAAACTCTTGGAAAGTAAACCAAACTGTTCAAAGTCGATCAAAGTCGTATATGGTTCAAGTCTGCTGCAAAGAGACTTGAGATCCCTGCCCTCACCAAACTCGAATACCAAAACCAAACGCATCCCTTTCACCAGCAAAAACGCAAGCAAAACCTCGGCTCTGTGGCTCCCCAGCTCATTGAAGAAATCCGTGGAAGAGATGCCCTGCCGGTCCGGTCAGTCATGGAAACTCGAGAAGCTGGATGGGTGGTGTTCTACAACTTCAACATGTTCTGTATCATTGAATCATTGTTATATATTATTGTAATTTAAAAAAAGAAAGTGAATGAGTCCAAAAGCTGAAGATGAGTGTGCATCGCTTCTGCCTTCGTTGCTATCAGTTCGATTGGGATCTACATGGATAAACATCGCAAAAGAAAGTGCCAAAAGTGCCCCTTCTCTCGGATCCTTTCCCACGCGAAGGATCCCGGCAGTCCTTCTTGTTCGCGAATTTGTTCGCCGCGTTGGTGTCCGCCGCGCCGGCCGACTGTGCCCGAACAGCCTTGGTGGGGACGCACCAGTCGCATTATGGCGAGAAACAAACCGAAGAAAGGAGGTCTATAGTAGCGTCCTTTGCTCCTAGTAGCGATGCCAGGAGTCCCTAGTAGTTTCTTGTCCCTATAAAAATAAGATCTATTTAGTTCTTTCAAGCAACACACTGGCACAAAAAAAAGAAACTTAGGCAAGGAAAGACTACTTTCTTTCCAAAAGCCGTTCCCGGACGAGTCCATTCCGCAAGTGACTATATAAGTAGGGTTTTAAGTGACGACTCTCTCTCTCTCTCTCTCAGGTGCTTCCACGAAGTCAGCACTTGTTGCGTCAGGTTTGATCCTTTTGTGTAGTTCGTCAAACCGATTGACAGAACTTTGCTGTGGCTGGCGGCGCTTCGCTGTTTTGGGGGATGGGTTTATTCAAAAGAACTGCGATTCCAGTGAACGCAAACGTGTGTTTGTGCAAATGGAATACAGGCCATCCGAGATTGCTCTTGTGGATTCTGAGAATACTATGCATAGAATCGTGTGAAGGAGGTGTTACAGTTGCTCTTTCAGGATCTTCCTCCAATGGAAAGAACAAGAACCAGCACTGAGTTCAACCATCTTGAGTTAAAACCTCTTGCATATAATCGGACGCCACCAACAATTCTGCGTGATTCCATTCTCACTATCGGTGGATAGTGGATGAGATTGAATATCTTTTCCTTACCTACGCTCCGACTCAATGACATGGAAAGAGGCCACTGGGAGGACCATTTTCCTGTACAAACAAGTCAGCTTTCCACCTCCATGTTGGTGAGTCAGGTGGCCATCTATCCGATAAATCTGAGGCAATCCTCCGATCCTGAGGCCCACCACTGGCGCGGGTGCCGGTGCCGGCGCAGGCGCCGGCGCAGGCGTTGGCGCTGGTGCTGGCGCCGGTTTTGGCTTCGAGGCCTTGGAAAGTGAAAAGGACACAAACAACAAGGGATTGGCTGTGCGATGAGTTGTGCTTGTTGGAGATGTATCCCAAAAAGAATCACCAAATTAGGATTTCGAGATGGGTTGGGCCTCTTGAAGTAGGGCAGTTTTTGGCTTTAGTTGCAAAATGCTTCATACAGCTCTTTTACCCAGCAGTTTCCACTTGGGACCACCCTTACGTAGATGTCAACGATCACAGCTGGCATGTGGCATGATACGACAAAGGAATCTCACCACACGTGGAGACGCAAAGCAACTCCAAACCCGGCTAAACCAGGCGCCTCAGTTTCTAGGTCATCGAAGTCGAAGTCGAAATCTATTTCCTTCGCCATCTGCTTGCCACCAGGAACAAAGCCTACAGTCGACTCGAATGCAGCCCAGGAAGGGTAACCGGCGAATGGTATCCGCCGACGGAGAATGTGAGAATGGTAACGTTTGGGTCGGCAAAAACGAGGCACGATGGAACTGGCGATCTAGGTGGCCGAAGGGGAAATCTCACCAACCTTGGCATCCAGAAGAGACACACATTCCGCCGAAAGTAACTAGTAGCTTCTTTCTTGTTCCTAGTAGTAACTAGTGGCGATGCCAGGAGCCCCTAGTAGCTTCTTGTTCTTGACATGTTCTTTCTTACAGAGGAATTCAATCTTCTGAGGGCCATCCCACCCATTCATTCAACTCCAAGCCCCCGCAGCACTTTCAAACCTTGGCACCTCACCTCTGCAACACTACCGTACCTTCAGCCCATACCGTTTTTTCCGTCTACCGGTGGACCCTTCCAACCACCGCATACCACCCTCCCTACCTGGACTGCGGCCCGCGGCCCGCGGTGCCCCCCACCTGCGGGCTTGGCGGCGATCACGGCAGGGTCGGCCTTCCGGACCACCTCGCGGCGACTTCGGGGTCGACGGACGAGGACGTGCGGCGCTGGCGGATTCGGCCCGGGGTTCTCCGGTGCTTCCGGAAGACGCTTCCGGGTTTCACTTCGGATTTGAGGCTTGAAGGCTACCTCTGTGGCTTCCTCATGTTCGCCTCTTCCTTTCCGTTTTGGCGGTTCAAGCGTCCCAAAGACCCTGTCAAACATCTTCAAACTTTGGCAGAACATTCTCGTGATTGTGAGTCCAGAACAAACCTGTGGCATGTTGGGTATCCAATCGGCTGTCCGCCAAGAAAAGGTCATCAACGTGTTTTTCCATGTCAGGGGCCAATGTCACGGGGTATGTTGAAACCTGAAGGAACTCAAGGGCAGCCCAACATCTCCAGGGTTCCCCACATGACTGTGAGGCACTGATGGTGCTGCTGGCTTTGTAGCAGTGACCTCAGTGGCATGGTGGCAGGATTTCTTGCTCGTCTCTAGCAAGTGGGACAACAGGAAAGAAGATTGAGAAGTACTTTCTGTTTGAATCTTTTTGAGGTTATGGTTCATGTTAAAGTCTTGCATGGTGGACTACAATGGACTACAGGCGAAGCTCAAGTACTCAAATAAGGGATCGCCATCAGGATTACAATCAAGATTGTGAAGGATGAGGTGTTTCCTCTGGCAGGTATTGTGGGAGCTGGCGGCAAAGTAGCTGATGTAGTGACACAACAAGTAACAAGCCTGTCTGAAAGCGTGACCGGAGTTTGCGACGCCTTGGCCCCTGACTACGGCTGGCGCAGACTTGCCTGGCAGGGTCAGGTTCAGGTCAGAATCTTACATTTGTCGACATCCCAGGACTGAACTCTTCTGATGTTGTTCTAGTTCTCTCTCTCTCTCTCTCTATCTGTTTCTTCACCCAAAGCCACTTTTGAGCTCCCGTGCCTCGGATCGGCGCCGCTTCCTCCAGGTATCCACCATCCTGAGACGTGTAGAAGATGTAGGAACAAATGAGTATTTTTGACCAAGTTCATTTCCAAATGTGTTTGGACATCCATGGCATCCTTCCGACTTGTTTCGTTCTGTGCGTTTTTAGATCTGTGGGAGGATCGTTTAAAAGCTCAGCACTCTCCAAAAGCCGATCCCTCAACTTCTAGCCACAATCCCTTAAAGCACCCACACACGTGCCTTCGGAGAGGGTGCCGAGAGGGTGTTGCTGGGCACCTGGCGATCGAGCAAACTTCTGAACTGCACACCAAACACTCCCTCAGCCCCACACTGCGCATCCCAAAAAGCCATTGAAACTCCTCACGGGTCCTTTTTCTCCATCATGTCCCTCTTCTGCTGCATCGTTGGTCTCCACAGCACCGCTGATCACCCCACAGCACTTCAACGCCTCCATGGCCTGTTGCACCGGCCCGTGCCCGTGGCCCAACGGCGACGCTTCGCCTTCGCGCAGCTCCTCCGCCATGCCCTGCACCACCCGCGGCACCAGCGGCGCCAGCGCCGGGCACCGCGCGAAGCACCGCAGCGCCGCCTTCACGGCGGCCTCCAGCGACGCGTCCTCCGCGCCGGCCGAGGCCCGGAAGGCCGCGTCGGCGGCGGCCACGGCGCGCAGCGGGTGCTCCAGGGGACCGGGTGCGGAGGCGTCCCAGGCGTCGGAGGCGGAAATCGGTCGCCGGAAACAGGCGAAGGCATAGCCATAGCGCTTGATTTGGAACCACGGATCGAAATCGATCGCTGGAGCATCGTCGATCAAGTCGTTTTCCAGAAGTATTCCTAGCGCAGCTGTCAAAGTTTCACCGCGACAAAGACCAAAGAAGACCTCTTCGCTTTGGCTCTCATCACGGGTCGTCATCCCTGTAGAGCCCAGGTCTAGGATAGCTGCATTGAGGAACTTCAGGGCTTCAGATTCCTTGAAGAAGGCCAAGGCTGTAGCCAGGCGCCAAGCTAAAGACTCAAAGCAAAGACCTTCCGAAATCACTTTGGACAACTCTTCACAGACTTCATTCACTTTCACGTCTTCAGCATCTCCTCTTTTGCTCTGCCCAGACCGCATCTGCCGCGCGGTCTTTCGACACCTCTCCCAAACCTGGCGGATCAACGTCTCCTCGGGCTGCCGTGCCAATACCGCAGCCGCCCGGCAGAGCTCCCACAGGAGCCGCTGGGAGCGGCGGACCCGCCGTGCCTCTCGATGGGAGCGGCGCCGTGGGGTCGGCAGGACAAAGCAGAGCAGCTGCAGCACCCAGGTGCACAGCCGCAGCACGGCCGAAACCCAAGCGACGGCCAACAAGAAGCCCAACTCGGATGACATGGCCTCCAACCTAAGTAACAAGAAGCTATTAGAAACAAGTGCCACGCTAGTAGTAACAGGTGCCTTACTAGTAGTAACAAGAAGCTATTAGAAACAAGTGCATCGCTTCTAGTAGCAAGAATGGCCCTTCTGCTACTGTTTGTGTTTGGGAGACTTGCACATCGAGACATTTTGAGACCTGGAGGTCGCAAATTTGCACCAGCTCTTGCATGAGAATACCCTAATCTCGGGTGTCTGTGCTAGTTGTCATGATTTGCCATGCAACAATCACATGTCTGGCCAAATATTGCTGAAAAGGAAGAATGGAACTCTAAGAAGTCCAAATTGCGTGCATCCGCACTGCTTTGAGGCCAAAAGACTCCATTTAACTGTCAGCTACACAGCTCGGCCCATGAAGCTGCGATCAAACATCGCTTGATCAAGCTTTGCTAGCAAAAAATTTTTACTGATCTCTTTTCTCCAAATGTCTTCCCTCACTTTTGCTGTCACCGGGAGGTTCTCGCTCTGCCTGGCTTCATGTTTTCTACAGCTTTTGTTGCAAAAGCGACAAGAAGGGTTTGGGTGTGCACTGACCCATCACGACTGGCAGGGGGATCTCCGCCGCGTGTTCCCTGTTGGATCCTCCCCGTCGTCTTCGAACCCAACCAGGGGGATCTCCGCCCAACCAGCTGTGGCACCACGACCTGACTCCTCCGAACTTCCAGTCGACCCCAGTCGACCCATCCGGAGCCACCAGTCGCCTTGGTGGGCACATCAAAGCCAAAGTCCTGGAGGCGGTTCGGCACTGGGCCTTAGACTACAGAATGGAGGTGACTAACAAAAGAGGGATGAGGCATTACCAAATATCACTCCACTAGTCAGCGATAGCCTCCAACCTAAGTGCGATGGCCTCTAACCTAGCAAATATCACTCCAAATTCCAGGAAGAAATGCCTCCCAATAGCAGAAAGGATTCTTCCCCTAGCTGACATGGATGCATTGACACAAAAATGCCTTCAACAGCTCTATCACCAAGCGCCGTGACAAAAAAGAACACCACGGAACGGTGGTGGTCCTCCTCCGGCTTCGCCAAGTGCACCTCGCTCAGTGGCTGGAAGGAGTGGCTGGTTCAAGAAACATGTTAGTTTTGGTGACTTCCTCAGGGTTCAGAATGGTGAACCTGCCCAGATCTGGCGTCCCATATATATATATATATATACGCACACCGAATACACACCGAACAAAAAGCAGATGTTGCCAGAAAATGTATGTTTTCCTTCCTTCCTGCCTGCCTTCCTTCCTTCCTTTCTTCCGTCCGTCCGTCCTTCCTGCAATTAGCGGGTGTTTTCTGTTCTCAAATCCAAACCCCCTCACGAACCGCCCGCCACAAACCCTGGCTCATCCAGCCTCCGCTGGTTTGGCCTGAGCACGGCCGGGAAACGGCCGGAAAGCGTAAGACCAAAGGACAAAAGACACGTTGACCTCTGAGAGAAACATATGGCCCAAGCATAAAAACTGTGGTGCGCTGGGTTGGCTTTGACTCTACAACTCGCAATCAAACAGGTTCAAAAAGGCAGGAATGGCTTTGCAGGATGTAATAGGTAGATGAGATTCCTCAAAAACATCGTGGCATGAACCTGGTGAAGCCATTTGGTTGCGGTTGCCTCATCTAAGCCATCACACAACGATTCGTACATGTTGGAACAGTGTGGCCCCGACATCCCGCAGACTTGGGGGAACCTCACTCTCTCTTCGACAGTCTTAGCAGCTGTTGAAGAAACATACACTCTCTCAAGCCGTGACTGGTTCATACCCGCCTCGGTTCTGCAGCTTCCCCACACCACACGCGCTGAACTGGATTTGTCATTCATGCTGCCAACTCTTCCAACCTGCTGGGTGGCTCCGGCAGCCTTGGCAGCGACACTGTACTTCTCACAGAGCTTCTTGGCTTCAGTGTCCATCTGCGCTTTGTACCTGCAAGACTGGATGGGCGGAAGAGAACTGCTTTGCTGGAGAAACCCTTCGTGACCTGCAGTGACCTGGAAGACTCAGGTCGGTTGAGGTGAGCTCTCCTGTTGATGTTGGGTGACTCACCAGTCTTGACCTTTAAGCAGTCAGAGGACTTCTCTGTGAACCTTGCAGTCTTGATGGAATCGTAGGTACATGTTTGCAAGAAACGAGTGATCCAAGAAGATCCACGGGAACGAATGATCCAATCGGACTCGCGGGTGCACGAACCCGTCGAAGCCGCCTCTGAGCGACCTTGGAGGTGTAGTCGACCGGACGCCCCGAGCTACTGAGTTTTCCCATCTCATTGCTCTTGAAGTACTCCAAGGCCTCGCACGTGTCGGTCACGGGTGCGGCGCGGTCGTGAAGTGCGGCGCGGCTTCCAAAAGATGTTCGACTCTTTTGGGATGGGTCCTTGTGGGGCAAGCAGGAAAGCCAACACGGTGAACACACTGCAGTGTCTAAGATGACAAATGACCCTCTCTAGAAAACACGATTCTTTAGCAAAGCCTTAGTTTACATTTGAAAACAAACTCTCTGAACAGCCCTGACGCGAACTTCTTTGGGCAAGTCTACTGTCTGCGGTCTGTCGACAAGACAATCTTTAGTGATAGAGGACAGCCTAGGCCATGTGCACTGAACAAAAGTTATCGAATGCGGAGCATTTGCTGCCTGGAAATACACAAATCTTGCATTCGATTGTGAGAGCGCCGAAGATTCCTCCTTTCATGTGTCGAAGATGGAAAAGGCCAAACAACCACTTCGTCCCGCCACAAACATCGCGACTCTGCCTTGCCGTTGCCACCGGCGGCCATCCTCAGACCGCAAGTTGCTGCGCTCAGAACGCAGTATGGGGTGGGGGGGACAGTGGGGGCGGTGAGATCCAAGCGGCCAATTCCCACAGAAATCTAATTTAATTTCATTTAATTGTAATTTGTTCCTAGTAGCTTCTTGTTACTACTAGTAAGGCACTTGTTACTAGAAGCGATGCACTTGTTACTAGTAGCTTCTTTGTTTAACCTCGTGCAACTGCGTTGAATCTCTGTTGTCTGTGCGCCCACTTCGCCCGCTACGTGTGCCAAGATGCTGTACCATCTGCTCTGGTGTGAAGCTATCGAGCTCTACCTCAGGTTTCGAGCAACAGCTACGAGTGCGCATCTAAGAGCATGTGTAACTTCTTTGTTTTCTGCAGAGAACAAACTTGCAGAACGAGGTTTGCACGTTTGTGTGGCGGCCAAGGGGAAGCGTGGATCGCAACTATCATGATGAGGATTCCAACCAACCAACCAACCAACCCAACCCAACCCAACCCAACCCAACCAACCCAACCAAACCAGCCAACCCAACCAAACCAACCAAACCAACCAAACCAACCAAACCAACCAAACCAACCAAACCAACCAAACCAGCCAAACCAGCCAAACCAACCAAACCAACCAAACCAACCAAACCAACCAAACCAACCAAACCAGCCAAACCAGCCAAACCAGCCAAACCAACCAAACAAACCAACCAAACCAACCAAACCAACCAAACCAACCAACCAACCAGCCTCCACGTCAACCGCTGAAGCAACTAAGCTGGAATTCACCACTTCAACGAGAAAGAAGTGCAATCAAGTCAACTCACTTAAAGCTCGTTTCCCTGGTCACCACTCAAGCGGCAATGCGTTTAAGCTTGTCCCCTTAAGTAAGGTTTTTCAGAGTTTGGGTCAAAAGCTAGGCGAACACTCCAGAAGCTCTTCGCTCAGCTTAGCGGCACTCCGCACGAAGGAGATGTGGACGCCCTGACACGCTCGAGAGGTTTTTCGAGAAGGAAGTCCCGAGATGAAGCAGCGGTTTGTATGTGTCTGGATCAAGGCATAGCAGAAACAAGACAGAACAGTTTGGCAAACAAGTCGTGACTCTTGAGCCACCATCTTGTGACCGAATCCAATCAGTGAAGGGGAAAAGAGACAAGGGACAATTCCTCAAGGAGTGAGGCCCAAAAGCAAATTATCCCATAGAATGTCCTTGTTACTAGTAGGGTTCTTGTTACTAGGCCAGGAGCTACGTTCGTAGCATCCTTGCTCCTAGTAGCGATGCACTTGTTTCTACTAGCTCTTTGTTACTACCAGTAAGGCACTTGTTACTAGAAGCG